ATATTTTTAGTACAGACTGGGTGTCACCATCTTGGCCAGGCTGGTCTTGAACTCCTGACCTTGGTCTTGAGCCACCCACCTTGGCTTCCCAAAGTGCTGGGATTACAGGCATGAGCCACCTCACCTGGCCTGTATATTTCAAAATTTCAAGTGTTCTTATCACAAAAATATTTGAGATGATATGTTAATTACCTTGATTTAATTACTCCATATTGTGTTCAGAGGTAATATCACTTTGTACCTCGTAAATATATACAACTAAGGTTTGTCAATTTACTAAAAGAATTTTACAATCAAATAAAATGGGCTGGGCCCGGCGGCTCATGCCTATAAACCCAGCATTTAGGGAGGCTGAGTCGGGCATATCACTTGAGATCAGGAGTTCAAGACCAGTCTGGCCAACATGGCAAAACCCCATCTCTACAAAAATAAAATAAAATTAGCTGGGCACGGTGGTGGGTGCCTATAATCCCAGCACTAGGGAGGCTGAGGCAGGAGAATTGCTTGAACCCGGTAGGTGGAGGTTGCTGTGAGCCAAGATTGAACCACTGCACTCCAGCCTGGGTGACAGAGTAACACTGCCTCAAAAAATAATAGAAATAAAATTCACGGGGTGGGCAAAACAGCAACAATGAAATGCAGGTCCACACCACGGCTCTGCAAATCCCAACTTGGGTGACCGAGTCAAATTATTTAGACTAACTTAGCTTTTGTTGCCTCCTTTTAAAATAAAGCATTTTGTCTGAATGGCCTCACTTCAAAAGTTCTAAGATCAGCCGGGCACAGTGGCTCACGCTTGTAATCCCAGCATTTTGGGAGGCTGAGGCGGATGGATTACCTGAGGTCAGGCATTCGAGACCAGCCTGACCAATATGATAAAACTCTCTCCTACTAAAAATACAAAAATTAGCTGGATGCGGTTGCATGAGCCTGTAATTCCAGCTACTCAGAAAGCTGAGGCAGGAGAATTGCTTGAACCTGGGAGGTGGAGGCTGCAAGTGAGCTGAGGTCCAGCCATTGCACTCCAGTCTGGTTAACAAGAGGGAAATTCTGTCTCAAAAAAAAAAAAAGTTCTGAGATCGTTTTGAGCAGAACTTGTGAGGTAGACTAACATTTTCAGCTATGGTCACCCTAAGTGTACTTATTTTAGTAAGTCTGGAGGAGTGAGAGTTTGGGACTATGGCAGTAAAGGAAAGATGAGCCAGGTTCTTTGGGTCAACTCCGTAATCCTCATTTTATTTCCCTCTACATTAGATATTCTAAAACCTTTTTGACAATTTAGCATATGGAAGTGGTCATTTGAAGTGCATCCAAGGTCAAATTAGAGAGCAACAAATGACGGTTTAGGAGCCAAAGATTTTTTTCCCACTGCCTGAATATTGTTGACATTTAGTGGTTCCTGTCTGATTCTAAATGATGGTTTTACCTCAGATTTTACAAACAGTAGCCTCTTTGTCCTTTTTCATGGATACTCTAAAAAATAGCAAATTTAATTATGAGGAAAGGAGAAAAAGCTGCACAGCATAAAAGGGAGAAGATTCCGGTAATGGGCTGTCCTCCCACACAAAGCCTTTCCTGAAGAGGTTCTTCCTGATATATCAGTTAAGTGTCCTTAACACTTTCTCCCCCAAAACTGAGCCTGGAGATATTTACCCTAAAATCAGGCTGGACACGGTGGCTCACACCTGTAATCCCAGCACTTTGGGAGGCCGAAGCAGGGCAGGTGGATCACCTAAGGTTAGGAGTTCGAGACCAGCCTGACCAACCTGGTGAAACCCCGTCTCTACTAAAAGTACAAAAATTAGTTGGCCATGATGGAGCATGTACTCAGGAGGCTGAGGCAGGAGAATCACTTGAACCCTGGAGGTGGAGATTGCAGTGAGTCAAGATCGTGCCACTGCACTCCAGCCTGGGCAACACAGCAAGACTATCTCAACAAACAGAAATAAAATGGTTAAAGCCCCATGGTGCACCTTTGTGTAAATCCTTACCATTTAGGAAAATCAAATGTTTTAGGGATGACATAATACTGGAAATCCTCCTTGAAAGTGTATAAAAGAAAAGGAATATAGTGGCCGGGCATGGTGGCTCACGCTTGTAATCCAAGCACTTTGGAGGCTAAGGCGGGCGGATCACCTGAGGTCGGGAGTTCAAGACCAGCCTGACCAACATGGTGAAAGCCCGTCTTTAAAAAAAGAAAAAAAATATATTAAAAGAAAAGGAATATAGTAAGTTTCTTTGGTTTTTGGGCCAATTCTTTTTTTTTTTGAGATGGAGTTTTGCTCTTGTTGCCCATGCTGGAGTGTAGTGGTGCAACCCTGGCTCGCTGCAACCTCTGTTCCTGGGTTCAAGTGATTCTCCTGCCTCAGCCTCCAGAGTAGCTGGGATTATAGGTGCCTGCCACCACACCTGGCTAATTTTTTGTATTTTCAGTAGAGATGGGATTTTGCCATGTTGGAGAGGCTGGTCTTGAACACCTGACCTCGGGTGATCCGCCCGCCTCAACCTTTTAAAGTGCTGGAATTGCCGGCATAACCCACTGTGCCTGCCCTTTGAGCCAATTTTTTTTTTTTTTTTTCGAACTGTGAGTCATGAGCCAATTCTTAAAGGCCTGTTTTATTCATAAAAAAGATGAAGCAGGCCAGGCGCGGTGGCTCATGCCTATAATCCCAGCACTTTGGGAGGCCGAGGCGGGTGGATCACGAGGTCAAGAGATCGAGACCATCCTGGTCAACATGGTGAAACCCTGTCTCTACTAAAAATTCAAAAATTAGCTGGGCATGGTGGCGCATGCCTGTAGTTCCAGCTACTTGGGAGGCTGAGGCAGGAGAATTGCTTGAACCCAGAAGGCGGAGGTTGCGGTGAGCCGAGATCGTGCCATTGCACTCCAGTCTGGGTAACAACAGCGAAACTCCATCTCAAAAAAAAAAAAAAAAGAAAAAGAAAAGATGAAGTAAAGCCTCTGATCACAGCAGTTAGTAAAGGCAGTTTAACTGCCAAAACAGCAGGAATTAGGGCTTTCTGTACTTTTTTTTCTTTGAGGCAGGTTCTCACTCTGTTGCCTAGGTAGAAGTGCAGTGGTATGATCATAGCTCAACTGATCCTTAGCCTCCTGAGTAGCTGGGCCTACATATGCCACCATGCCTGGCTAATTTTTTTTTTTTTTTGTATACCTGCCAGGGTGTAGAGGGAATAAATACTTTAGCTTCAAGCATGGCTTTCCACCCTAATGGAATAATAAAACCATTAAGGGATGCTAAAAATATACAGATGCCAGGCCTCTCCCAGGCCAATTCAGAATCTCAAAGTAGGCAATGTACATATTTAAAGCTGTCCAGGTGTTTGTAATGTGCAGCCAATGTTGAGAAAACCACTAAACTGGGCTGGCCACAGTGGCTCACATCTATAATCCAAGCACTTTGGGAGGTCAAGGCGGAAGGATCACTTGAGGTCACAAGTTCGAAACCAGCCTGCCCAACATGGTGAAAACCCATCTCTACTAAAATACAAAAATTAGCTGGTGTGGTGACCAGTGCCTGTAATCCCAGCTACTCGGGAGGCTGAGGTAGTAGAATCCACTTCCACCTAATTTTTGTATTTTTGATAGAGATGGGTTTCACCATGTTGGTAAGGCTGGTATTGAATAAGGAGACTCATTTTTTTTTTGAGACAGAGTTTCTTGTTACCCAGGCTGGAGTGCAATGGCACGATCTCGGCTCACCTCCGCCTCCTGGGTTCAGGCAATTCTCCTGCTTCAGTCTCCCGAGTAGCTGGGATTACAGGCACGCGCCACCATGCCCAACTAATTTTTTGTATTTTTAGTAGAGACAGGGTTTCACCATGTTGACCAGGATGGTCTCGATCTCTTGACCTCGTGATCCACCCGCCTCGGCCTCCCAAAGTGCTGGGATTACAGGCTTGAGCCACCGCGCCCAGCCCAGGAGACTCATTTTTTGAAAGATGAAGATACACCGATACACATCACCAGACAGGATATGCGTTTATAAATGAGAGGGATTGGAATCAAAGAAGACCACTTAAAAAAAAAATTAAAAGAAAAATTTAAAAAAAAAATGAGGGGCATAGGAAAAGGGCCAGGAAGGTGGGATTTGAAATGATTTATGAGTTTCAAAAATGTTGTTATTTATTTATTTATTTAGAGACAGAGTCTTGCACTGTCGGCTGGGCTGGAGTGCAGTGGTGCTATCTCGGCTGACAGCAACCCCCGCCCTCCAGGTTGAAGCGATTCTCTTGCCTCAGCCTCCTGAGTTGCTGGGATTACAGACACCTGCCACTGGGCCTGGTTAGTTTTTTTTTATTTTTATTTTTAATTTTCAGTAGAGACGCAGTTTCACTTGATAGGTTGGTCTCGGTCTCCTGACCTCGTGATCCATCCGCCTCGACCTCCCAAAGTGCTGGGATTACAGGCATGAGCCACCGCGCCCGGCCTATTTAATTTATTTATTTTTAAAATTATAAACAGAGACGGGGTTGGGTGTCACCATTTGCCCAGGGTGGTCTTGTACTCCTGGCCTCAAGTGGCCTTCTGGCCTAGGCCTGCCCAAAGTGTTGGGATTACAGACCTGACCTATCAACACCTGGCCTGGCTTTTGTGCTTTTGGTTTTTGTTTTGTTTAATTGAAGTTTAAGGTGACTGACAGTCGGCGAGCTCCAGCTGGGAGGCGAATTCAGATTTCGCTGTAGGGAAGGAGGGCGGAGTCTTGGGAAAGCTGGACCCTAAGCTGTGGCAGCTGCGCGCGCTAGGGAGGAGTCCCAGGGTCATTAACTGATGATCTTGGGCTGCTGGGAAGCGGCGGAGTAGCAGCGTTCGGGTGGGGCGAGCCGGCTGGCGCCGGGGACTTTCTTCCGTCTGGTCAGGCAGATTCCTGTTTTTTGTTTTTCAAAATTCAGAAAGCATCTCTGAGTATTTGTCCAGAAGCTTGTGAAACATACTTTCCTGGTCTTTCTTTCACTTTGTTTTATTTCTATGTGGACGAACAATGGGAAAATGCCGCGCGTCTAGCCAGGCAGATGAGAAAACAGCCATACAGTCAGGCCCCCGAGCCGGCGCTGTTATAAATAGCGCTCACCCGCCATTGTCGTTCTCTTCTTCGTTCGGTGGGTTTGTGCGTTTGTGGTGTGTGTCGGGGCGGGGGTTATTGTCCTTATATCGCCTGCTGCAGGCCCAGCTGCTGAGTGATGGGGAGCAGGGGATTCCTACGGCCTGCGGTGCCTTTGCGCAGCAGCCAGCGTGCGGGTATGTCGCTGTTCCCAGTCAAACTGGGTGAACTAACGTTGCAGACTAGAATTTCTAGTGTTAATGCTTGGAACCGACCGAGGGGGACTCGGCTAGCGTCGCCACAGCCTTTGCTGATTCATCGCAGTATCACAACGGTGAGCAGGCTCATGCGAGATGGGTGTGGCTGTCGCCCGGGGAGAGGACGGGAGTGATGATGACCCTAGGTGACTCTGAGTGTGTCGCTGACGCCATCACCGCAGCGCTCTGACTTCCCCTAGGTCCACGATTCCTCAACCTGGGCTCAGCGAGTTCATGGCCAAGATCTCTTGTTAATCGTTTGTTCCTGTGTTTCATTTCCCCATTAGGAATTGTAAGACGTCCATCGCTGTGTTATCTTTGAGTAAAGGTGAGTATTAGTTGCGAGAGCCTTTTGAGTGCCTCTTGGGAAAACTTTCGTTCCTGGGCATTATGCCCCCCCCCCCTTTTCTTTTAAGAGACATTCTGTGACCCTGGCTGGAGTGCAATGGCGAGAACACAGTTCACTGCCGGGCGCGGTGGCTCACGCCTGTAATCCCAGCACTTTGGGAGGCCGAGGCGGGTGGATCACGAGGTCAGGAGATGGAGACAATCCTGGTCAACAAGGTGAAACCCCGTCTCTACTGAAAATACAAAAAATAGCTGGGCATGGTGGCCTGTGCCTGTAATCCCAGCTACTCAGGAGACTGAGGCAGGAGAATTGCCTGAACCCAGGAGGCGGAGGTTGTGGTGAGCCGAGATCGCACCATTGTACTCCAGCCTGGGTAACGAGGGAAACTCCGTCTGGGGGCGGGGGGACGGGACACAGTTCACTGCGGCCTTCAGTTCCCGGGTTCAACTGATTCTCCCACCTTAAGCTATATCCATTTTTTTCTTTTTTTTTGGCGACAGGAGTCTTGCTCTTGTCACCCAGGCTGGAGCACAATGGCATGATAGTTGCCTGCAACCTCCGCTTCCTGGGTTGAAGCGATTCTCCTGCCTCAGCCTCCCGAGTAGCTGGGATTACAGGCGCCCGCCACCACGCCCGGCTAATTTTTGTATTTTTAGTAGAGATCGGGCTTCCCCATGTTGGTCAGGCTGCTCACTGCAGCATCCGCCTCCCGGGCTCAACTGGTCCTTTATTCACCTCGGTCTCCTGGGACTACAGGCAGGTGCTACCATGCCCGCCTACTTAAAAAAAATTTTTTTTTAATGGAAACGGGCTTTTGCCATGTTATCCATGCTGCTCTCGACTCGGGCTCAAGCAGCCTCCTGCCCGGGCCTCCCAAAGTGCTGGAATTACAGGCGTGAGTCGCTGCACCTGACCCTGGTGACTTTCTAGAGACTACTTTTAGTTTACATCTCTTTCTTTTGCGACATTTATTTATTTATTTTGAGACGAAGTTTTGCCCTTGTTACCCACGCTGGAGTGCAATGGCGCGATCTTGGCTCACTGCAAAACCTCCGCCTTCTGGGTTCAAGCAATTCTCTTGCCTCAGCCTCCGGAGTAGCTGGTACTACAGGTGCGCACCACCATGCTTAGTAGAGATGGGGTTTCACCTTGTTGACCGGGATGGTCTCGATCTCTTTGACCTCGTGATCCACCCACCTAGGCCTCCCAAAGTGCTGGGATTATAGGTGTGAGCCACCACGCCTGGCCCACCTCCTGGGTTTTAAGCACTTCTGCCTCAGCCTCCCAAGTAGCTGGGACTACAGGCGCGCGCCACCATGCCCAGCTAATTTCTGTATTTTTAATTAGGACAGGGTTTCACCATGTTGACCAGGATGGTCTCGGTCTCTTTCCCTCGTGATCCACCCGCCTCGGCCTCCCAAAGTGCTGGGATTATAGGCGTGAGCCACTGCGCCTGGCCTATTTGTTTATTTATTTATTTTTTAGTCTCCCTCTTGCCCAGGCTGGAATGCAGTGGCATGATTTTGGCTCACTGCAACTTCCACCTCCTGGGTTCAAGAGATTCTGCTGCCTCATCCTCCTGAGTTACTGGGATTACAAGCGACTGCTACCATGTTCTGCTAATTTTTGTGTTTTTAGTAGAGATGGAGTTTCACCATGTTGGTCAGACTGGTCTCTTGACCTCAGGTGATCCACCTGCCTCAGCCTCCCAAAGTGCTGGATTACAGGTGTGAGCCACCGCTCCCAGTCTGCGTTTTTACTTTTTATTAAATCCCTGTATTTTTGTTGAAGGCTGGATACCCTGACTCCCCCACTCATTTTTACTGTAAACTGAGAGTACAGTGGGGCCTCCCGGTGGAGCTGTTCTCTGCAGTTTTAAATTACTTTCTACTTCCTAACATGCATTCCTGGACTCATTTGTTAGAACCTTGTATATTGGGGCTGTTGTGTTTTTTTGAATGTAGTAGATCTCTTTCCAGAGGGGCTTCCCTTAATCCAGATCTCCCTAATTGGGAATGATGATCTCACAGACTAGAGTCTCTGATGCTGGTCATGCTGTCAAAACTAAGTTCTGACTCATTTAGGGGACTGGATACTTGGGTCTCCAAGAGGGGGCCAATGGGAGGGCCAAAATTCTGCTTATTTTCAAATTGTCTTGTTTTCACCTTGTTAGAATGTGAGCTCTGGAAGCCCCAGCCAGGGACAGTGCCCCTTCACAGAGATTCCATACTAACCTGAGTGAAGGCATAAGGTTTGGAGCCTTCCCCCTGGGGGAGATGTGCTGTATGGCTGTCACGCCTATGTAGTGACTCCTGCGACTGACCTTCAGGCTGGAAGAGGTGGAGAGCCATGCCTGATCTCCGTTGCTATGGTGAGTGTCCTTCGTTTTGGCTCTCAGTTGGAGTGGTAATGATCTGGTTAAACGAGAGTCTCTTGAGCTTTTCTCTGAGGATCTTTGAAACCACCTGATATACTCTCCATCCTGCCTGGAATCTCCTGTGCTTCATGTTTTTTTTTTTTTTTTAAGACAGAGTTTCACTCTGTCCAGACTGGAGTGCAGTGGCGCGATCTTGACTCACTGCAACCTCTGCCTCTCAGGTTCAGGCGATTCTCCTGCCTCAGCCTCCTGAGTAGCTCGGATTACAGGTGCCCACCACCACACCTGGCTAATTTTTTGTATCTTGAGTAGAGACCGGAGTTTCACCATGTTGGCCAGGCTGGTCTTGGACTCCTGACCTTGGCCTCTCAAAGTGCTGGGATTACAGGCATGAGCCACCGCACCCAGCCCTGTGCTTCATGTTTTTATGGTCAGTTACTTCTGATGTTTAATTGGCTGTGGTTCTGCAGGATGTAATACATGAAACATAGTGCTGGCATCTGCCTGCCCTCTAGGGAGGCCTCAGGAAACTTTATATTGCTTAAGATGCAGATGGAAGTAGGGCTGTAGCATGGCCAGAGAGGCAGCAGTGGCAGGGAGGTGCCACATATTTTTAAGCAACCTGATCTCCAAGGAACTGACTGTTAGGAGTACAGCACTAAGGAGATGGTGCTTAAGCCATTCATGAGTACAGGGTCTCACTTTGTATATAGGTTGGTCTTGAACTCCTGCCTCAGTGAGCCACTGTGCCCGTCCCATGGTTTTTTTTGTTTGTTTGAGATCCAGGCTGGAGTGCAGCGGTGCAATCTTGGCTCATTGCAACCTCTGCCTCCCAAGTTCAAGTGATTCTCCTGCTTCAGCTGCCCAAGTAACAGATTACAGGCACGCACCACCACACCCAGCTAATTTTTGTATTTTTAGTAGAGAGTTTCACCATGTTGGCCAGGCTGATCTTGAAATCCTTATCTCAGGTGATCTGCCCACCTTGGCCTCCCAAAGTGCTGGGATTACAGGTGTGAGCCATAGCATCTGGCCAATTTTATTCTATTTTTTGAGATGAGGTCTTGCTCTGTTACGTAGGCTGGAGTGCAGTGGTGCAGTCACAGCTCACTGCACCCTGAACCCCCTAAGTGCAAGCTTTCATCTCACTTAATCCTTGGAGTAGCTGATGGCCACAGGCATGCATCTCACTATCCCAGCTAAATTTAAATTTATTTTTTATTTGAGGACGGGCTAGGTGGCTCATGCCTGTAATTCCTGCTCTTTGGGAGGCCGAGTCTGGTGGATCACCTGAGGGCAGGTATTAGAGACCAGCCTTACCAACATGGTAAAACCCTGTCTCTACTAAAAATACAAAATAGCTGGGAGTGGTGGCGGGCACCTGTAATCTCAGCTACTTGGGAGGCTGAGGCAGGAGACTCGCTTGCACCTGGGAGGTGGAGGTTGCATTGAGCTGATAGGATGCCATTGTACTCCAGCCTGGGTGACAGAGCAGTACTCCATCTCAAAAAAATAGTAACTTGTAGATATGGGGTCCCAGTATGTTGCTCAGGCTTGTCTCAAACTCCTGGCTCAAGTGATTCTCCTGCTTTGGCTTCCCAAAGTGTTGGAATTGACAGGCATGAGCTACCATGCCCAGCCTTGACTTCTAGTATAGATTCAGGGGGTACATGTTCAGTTTTGTTATATGACTGTATTGTATGATGCTGAGGTTTGGGGTAGGATTGTTCCCATCACCCAGGTAGTACGCATAGTACCCAACGGTTATTAAACCTTTGCCCCATTCTCTCTCCCAGCGTCTGTTGTATGTCCGTGTACACCCAACATTCAGCTCCCACTTAGACGTGAGAACATAGTTATCCGGTTTTCTGTTCGGCATTGATTCACTGAGGATCCTGGACTCCAGCTGCATCAGTGTTGCTACCAGGGACATGTAGCATGTCTCTTTTATTGGTGCGTCCTATATGCTTGTAATAATCTCTTTATGAATTTTCAGGAATTTGCTGACAAAAAGAATATCTTCTGCCTGGTGCTGGGCATATCCTAACAACTTAAAATTTTCCTGCATTGCCCTGTGTGATCAACTGTCAACTTACTGGGGGAAGAATGCTTGAAACTTAGGGTCACTTCAAGTAGATAGCTTCTACTTCCTATATTTGTCTTACACAAGTATCTGGTTTTATCAAAATAATTCTAATAAAATATTTTAAGTAAATAAGACATGGTTTGGTCTCAGTGAAAATGATATGATACAAAAAGATTAAGGAAAGTAAAAGGTAAAGCCCTATCAGAATTAAGGCCAAGAGTTAGACTGTACCCCACCTTAACCCTAATGTTAGCGATTCTAGGTTGGATGACATAGTATTATATATAATACACTAAAGTTGACATTTTTGACAATTGAGTTTTTTTTTGAGATGGAGTTTTGCTGTTGTTACCCAGACTGGAGTGCAATGGCACGATCTCGGCTCACCGCAGCCTCCACCTTCTGGGTTCAAGCAATTCTCCTGCCTCAGCCTCCAGAGTAGCTGGGACTACAGGCACGCACCACCATGCCCAGCTAATTTTTTTGTATTTTTAGTAGAGACGGGGTTTCACCTTGTAACCTCTACTTCTTGCGTTCAAGTGATTCTGCCTCAGCCTCCCGAGTAGCTGGTATTAGGGTGCCTGTCACCTCACCCAGGTAATTTTTGTATTTTTACTAGAGAGAAGATGTCACCATGTTGGCCTGGCTGGTCTTGAACTCCTGACCTCAGGAGATCCACCCACCTTGGCCTCCCAGTAAGCCACTGCACCTGGCTGCATTAGAGATTTTTTTTTTCCCCCAAGGCAGAGTTTCACTGTCATTCAAGCTGGAGCGCAGTGATGTGATCTTGGCTCACTGCAATCTCCACCTCCTGAGTTCAAGCAATTCTGCTTCAGCCTCCTGAGTAGTTGGGATTATAGGCGCCTGCCACCGTGCCTAGCTAGCTTTTGTGTTTTTAGTAGAGACAGGATTTCACCATGTTGACCAGGCTGCTCTTGTACTCTTGACCTCAGGTGATCTGCCAATTTCTACCTCCCAAAGTGCTTTTGAGATAGTCTCACTCTGTCACCCAGGCTGGAGTGCAATGGAGGCTCCCTGTAACCTCTGCCTCCCAAGTAGCTGGGATAACAGGCATGAGGCACCATGCCTGGCTAATGTATTTTTAGTAGAGATGGGGTTTTTCCATGTTGGTCAGGCTGGCCTTGAACTCCTGACCTCAGGTGATTGCCTGCCTTGGCCCCCCAAAGTGCTGGGATTACAGGTGTGAGCCATTGTGCCCCCCTATTTTCCTCATTTATTTTTTTAAGAGATGGGGCTTCACCATATTGCCCAGACTGGTCTCGAATTCCTGAGCTCAGACAATCCACCCACCTCGGCCTCCCGAACTGCTGGGATTACAGGCATGAGCCGTCGTGCCCAGCTGCCTTTCCTCATTTCTTTTTTTTTTTTTTTTTTTTTTCATACTTTAAAAGCCAGATATATTTTTAAAAGATCATACTTATAATAAGTAAGTTACATAGTAACTGTGTCCAAAGCAGGCTTTTCGTGCACTGGCTTCTGGGAAGGTTTTCAGTCTTCCGCCATGTACACTGCTGAGATGCCAGGGATCACCCAGTTGGTCCACCAACTAGAAATAGAATCAACAGTAGTGATAAGAGTTTCCGAAGGCTTGTTTAACTTTGGTCTGTCATCTGGATGGAGCTCTCCAATGATATATGTTTTGGATCATTCCCTGGCATCTGTAGAGTGCCTGACATCCTCAAAGTCCTCAGTAGCATCACCTCCAGCCTGTTCCCTTTAGACTTCTTCCCCACCAGGATGCTCTTCCAGAAATGTGGTCAAATCGTACACCTTGTGCAGGATCAGCCAGGTGCTCTTGCTGTGGTTGTGCTTATGAATCTCCTCGATAGTGTAGTACTTCACGGCCTCGTCAGACTGCTCGGCCATCTCTGTTCGCCACGAGCCAGGCCCAGCACACACAGCAGTGTCGGGTGGAGCAGAACGGGCAACTCAGCCAGCTCCACCAGGGACAGTCCCCCCCCTCATTTCTTCAGGCTTCATTTTCATACCAGGAGTGGAGCAACTTGAGTAATAAACAGTCCTCCTTCCCGACCCTTCAAGCTGACATCCCCGGCTTGCAGTTACTACTCTAGACTGGCCTGCTACTTCAGCTACTGCAGGCAGTGAGCCTCCTAAGGCCTGGCCTCATCCTGTCTCCCAACAGGAATCCTTGGAATCCTTACCCACTGGCCACTGTGCTGGTCCTCCAGGTGACACCGCCATCTGCCCGTTGTTTCGGCCTGGCCTCATCCTGTCTCCCAACAGGAATCCTTGGAATCCTTACCCACTGGCCACTGTGCTGGTCCTCCAGGTGACACCGCCATCTGCCCGTTGTTTCGGCCTGGCCTCATCCTGTCTCCCAACAGGAATCCTTGGAATCCTTACCCACTGGCCAGTGTGCTGGTCCTCCAGGTGACACCGCCATCTGCCCGTTGTTTCGGCCTGACCTTTGGAATCTATGTGACTCCTTTCCTATTCTTACATGCTACATGTAATTTGTCAACAAATCCTGCTGTCTCTACCTTAGAAATGACATGAGGATCTGTGTCTCACACCTCTACTACTACATCCTGGTGGGAGCCACCATTGCCTCTCACCTGCAACTGGCCCACCTGGTGCACTTCTGCCCTGTTACAGCCTCTCTACACACAGCAGCCAGAAGGTTCCTTCCAAATCAGGAGTCAGGTCATGTTTCTCTTCTGAAGATCCTGCAATATCTCCCATTTCACTGAGTAAAAGCCTCCATTTTACAAGGACCACCCAGCAAGTTCTCCCCGTCTAGCTAGCTCTGTCATCTTTCTGACCTCATCTACCCCCCACTCTTTGGCCACACTACAGAAAGCCAGAGCAAAGAAATCAGAGGTGATATGAAAAGGAAGATTTGAAATATGAAGGATGGAATGGAATGCTTCAACTCCAGATCTGCTTTCTTTGTTTTTTGAGACAGAGTCTCACTCTGTTACCCAGGCTGGAGTGCAGTGGCATGATCTCGGCTCACTGCAACATCCACCTCCCAGGTTCAAATGATTCTCCTGCCTCTGCCTCCTGAGTAGCTAGGATTATAGATGTGTGCTACCATGTTTGGCTAATTTGTTTGTATTTTTAGTAGAGACAGAGTTTCACCATGTTGGTCATGCTGGTCTCGAACTCCTGACCTTGTGATCTGCCCACCTTGGCCTCACAAAATGCTGGAATTACAGGTGTGAGCCACTGTGCCCAGCCTGCTTTGTTTGTTACATGCAGCCAGAACAGCCACAGAGCCATCATGAGCTCTGCCCAGTGGCATACAGGAGTGCCTGGTTTTCGGCATCTCAGGCCCATCTGTTTGTTTGTTGTAGTACTTTCTTTTTCATTAGTATTCTTTCCCAATTTTTTCTTAAAGACAGAGTCTCGCTGTGTTACCCAGGCTGGAGTGCACTGGCATGATTTTGGCTCACTGCAGCCTCTCTGCCTCCTGAGCCACCGTGCCTGGCTTTTTTTTTTTTTTTTTTTTAATTATTCTGTTATTTTCCAAAGACTATATAAAGAAACAAATTATCCTCAGGGTGAAAGTACCTGCTGACTCTTAAAATGTTAACTTTATTGCCCCCAGTCAGGTGAACCTCAGGTGGAAGTGGGTCACATTCCAGGCTGGTTCTCATGTGTCTTAAATTCTTCTTTTTTTTTTGAGACAGAGTTTTGCTCTTGTTACCCAGGCTGGAGTGCAATGGCATGATCTTGGCTCCTGGGTTCAGGCAATTCTCCTGCCTCAGCCTCCTAAGTAGCTGGGATTACAGGTGCGCGCCACCATGCCCAGCTAATTTTTTGTATTTTTTTTAAAGATACGGGGTTTCACCATGTTGACCAGGATGGTCTCGATCTCTTGACCTCATGATCCACCCGCCTTGGCCTCCCAAAGTGCTGGGATTACAGGCTTGAGCCACCGTGCCATAGTGTGTCTTAAATTCTAAAGAATGTAGTGAAGATAAAGATGTCAGCTGATAATCCCCAGTTATTTGCTGATAGCAGATAATAAACTGGCAGGGGTAGCCCTTTTCAAAGAGCCTTGTAGCATAAGCTGGTACCACCTCGAAATGGTTAGCAAGTCCCATCTCCTAGTGTCAGACAGGGAATGACTGTGCTCCACCACTGCATTGATTTCCTCTAAAAGAGGCTGAGGAACTGTCATAAAACAACAAAAACTTTTCAAAGTTTTGGTTGGGTGTGGTGGCTAATGTCTGTAATCCCAACCCAAGGTGGAAGGATTGCTTGAGGGCAGTAGTTTGAGACCAGCCTGGGCAGAGGCCACTTCTCTACAAAATTAAGCAATTAGCTGCGCATGGTGGCATGCACCTATAGTCCCAGTTACTTGGGAGGCTGAGGTGGGAGGATTGCTTGAGCCCAGAAGGTTGGGGCTGCAGTGAGGCATGATTGTGCCACTCACTGCTCTCAAGCCTGTGTGACAGACCAAGACTCTGCCTCTAAAAAGAAGAAGAAAGAAAAAGAAAATTGGCAAACAATTATATTAGCATGTGCGTGTACTTGTATTTGGCAGGATCACTTCAAAGTATATTACAGAGATTACAACATTTTATCCCTTCCAACTTGAGCATGCATCTCCAAAAAATAAGGATGTTCATCTGCATATTCACAATATTGTTATACCTGAGAAAAGTAAATTTAATTCCCTAATATCACTTAACATTCGCTCAGGTGCCATGACTCACACCTATATCCCAGCACTTTGGAAGGCCGAGGCTGGTGGATTGCTTGAGCCCAGGAGTTCGAGACCAGCCTGGGCAACATGTCAAGACCTCATGTCTTCAAACACTACAAAAATTAGCAGGTGTGAGGCACCTGCCTGTGGTTCCAACACTCGGGAGGCTGAGGTGGGAGGATTGCTTGAGTCTGACGGGTTAAGACTGAAGTGAACTATGATTGCACCACTGTACTCTAGGCTGGGTGACAGAGTAACCTTGTCTTTAAAAGAGGTGTGTTGCCATGCGTGGTGGCTCATGCCTGTAATCCCAGCACTTTGGGAGGCTGAGGAGGGCAGATCATCTGAGGTCAGGAGTTTAAGACCAGCCTGGCCAACATGGAGAAAACGCGTCTCTACTAAAAATACAAACATTAGGCAGGTGTGGTGGTGGACACCTGTAGTCCCAGCTACTTTTCAGAGGCTGAGGCAGGAGAATCACTTGAACCCAGGAGGCAGAGGTTGCAGTGGGCCGAAATTGCGCCACTGCTCTCCAGCCTGGTTGACAGAGTGAGACTGTCTCAAAAAAAAAAGGTGGGCCGGGCCCGGTGGCTCACGCCTGTAATCCCAGCACTTTGGGAGGCTGAGGCACATGGATCATGAGGTCAAGAGATCAAGACCATCCTGGTCAACCTGGTGAAACCCCGTCTCTACTAAAAATACAAAAATTAGCTGGGCATGGTGGCGCGTGCCTGTAATCCCAGCTACTCAGGAGGCTGAGGCAGGAGAATTGCCTGATCCCAGGAGGCAGAGGTTGCGGTGAGCTGAGATCGCGCCATTGCACTCCAGCCTTGGTAACGAGCGAAACTCCTTCTCAAAAAAAAAAAAAAGTGTATGGAGGGTGGGGCTGGGGGAAGAGAATGAGAAAGTAGAGGAAAAACAGTTTAAAATGTGGGTTTTTCGTGAAACACAAACTCTTCAACCCTTTTTTTAACTGTAATTAAATAAAAATTATAAAAGTATTTGACCTAATATGCTGTTTCTTGTTTGTTTTTGAGACAGGGTCTTGCTGTGTTGCCCAGGTTTGAGTGCAGTGGTGCGGTCTTGGCTCACTACAGCCTCCACCTCCTGGGCTCCAGGGATCCTTCTACCTCAGCCTTCCATGTAGCTGGGACTGCAGATATGAGCCACCACCCCAGCTAATTTTTAAATTTTTTGTAGAGATGGGGTCTTGCCATGTTGCTCAGGCTGGTCTCAAACTCCTGGGCTCAAGTGACCTGCCCGCCTTGGCCTTCCAAAGTACTGGGATTATAGGCATAAGCCACTGCCCCTGGCCAGCCTTTTTTCACCTAATCATTTTAGCATCCATTGATGACCTTTGCCTGAGTGAATTGTTTCATTGGAGTTTTCAAAATGATGACTATTTTTAATTCTTTTTTTTTTTTTTTTGAGACGGAGTTTCGCTCCTGTTACCCAGGCTAGAGTGCAATGGCGCGATCTCCGCTCACTGTAACCTCCGCCTCCTGGGTTCAGGCAGTTCTCCTGCCTCAGCCTCCTGAGTAGCTGGGATTACAGGCACGCGCCACCATGCCCAGCTAATTTTTGTATTTTTAGTAGAGACGGGGTTTCACCATGTTGACCAGGATGGTCTTGATCTCTTGACCTCGTGATCCACCCGCCTCGGCCTCCCAAAGTGCTGGGATTACAGGCTTGAGCCACCGCACCCGGCCCTGACTATTTTTAATTTTTTGAGACAGCTTGAATTCAGTCACACAGGCTGGAGTGCAGTAGCACATTCCTGGCTTACTCCAGCTTCAACCTCCCAGGCTCAATTGATCCTCCCTCCTCAGCCTCCCAAGTAGCTTGGACTACAGGCACACACCACCACACACAGCTAATTTTTGTAGAGATGGGCGTTTGCCATGTTGCCCAGGCTGGCCTTGAACTCCTGGGCTCAAGCAATCCTCCTGCCTCAGCCTCCCAAAGTGCTAGGATTACATGTGTGAGCCACTGCAACCAGCCACAAGCAGATCTTGTTTGTTTGCTTGCTTGTTTGTTTTTGAGATGGAGTTTCGCCTTTGTCTTGAGACAGGGTTTCACCATGTTGGTCAGGCTGGTCTCGAACTCCTGACTTCAGATAATCCACCCGCCTTGGCCTCCCAAAGTACTGGGATTACAGACATGAGCCACTGCACCCAGCAAACGTTCTTTACTAATTTCCCTTTTTTGATAAAAAAATCTTTCTTCTTGAAGTAATTGATAACACTTTGAGTGCCAAGGTTGCCAAGGTACCAGGAAAACTCATTTCTAGATAATTCTGTCAAAGTCATTGATCTATAGCTGATGTCACTTTTTAATTTGAAAAACGAGAGATGCATAGTAAAAATATAATATATATAAGACTTACAATACTTTGTTTTCCTCTGTTTTTTTGGGACAGAGTCTTGCTATGTCACTCAGGCTGGTGTGCAGTGGTGTGATCTTTGCTCACTGCAACCTCCACCTCTGGGTTCAATTGATTCTCCTGACTCAGCCCCCTGAGTAGTTGGGATTATAGGCATGTGCCACCAACCTAGCTAATTGTTTTTTTTTCCCCCTGAGACTGAGTCTTGCTCTATTGCCCAGGCTGGAGCACAGTGGTGCTGTTATACCAAAGTGCTGGGATTACAAGGCGTAAGCCATGGTGCCTGGCCTAATTGTGGAATTTTTGTAGAGACAGGGTTTCACTATGTTGACCAGGCTGGTCTCAAACTCCTGACCTCAGGTGATCCACCCGCCTCAGCCTCCCAAAGTGCTAAAATTATAGGTGTGAGCCACTGCATCCAGACAAGGCTTATAATCCAAAAGAAAATTTGTATGCCAGAATTAAAACAGACGACCAAAACATATTCCATTGAAGAGTCAATTAAAAATATCTTGAAGAAAATTAAAACCCGGTCCTACTTTAGAGACCTGTTGTAGCCAGGAAATTATTAAAGATTTAGTTCAAATTGTAGGAGAATAATAAAAAGTAAAAAACAATGAATACGACCGGAATTCAATAACAGGTTGTGAAAGGAAGATAAATCTTGGGACCCCAAAATCACTAAGCCAAAGGAAGAGTCAAGCTGGAAGCTACGTCAGGCAAACCTGCCTCCCAGTCCTAAATAAGATAGCTGAAAAGATAAAAGAGCTACATACCACCCGGGCACGGTGGCTCACACCTGTAATCCCAGCACTTTGGGCAGCCGAGGCAGGTGAATCACTTGAGGCCAAGAGTTTGAGACCAGCCTGGCCAACATGGTGAAACGCCATCTCTACTAAAAATACAAAAATTAGCCAGGTGTGGTGGCGCGCACCTGTGATCCCAGCTAGGGATTACTTGGGAGGCAGAGGCAGAGGCTGCAGTGAGTTGAGATCATGCCACTCAACTCTAGCCTGGGTGCCTCATGCCTGTAATCCTAGCAATTTGGGAGCGTAAGGCAGGTAGCTCACCTAAGGTCAGGAGTTCATGACCAGCCTGACCAATATGGTGAAAACCCGTCTCTATTAAAAATACAAAAATTAGCTGGGCATGGTGGTGGGCACCTGTAATCCCAGCTATTTGGGAGGCTGAGGAGGGAGATCCAGCCACTGCACTCCAGCCTGGGTGACAGAGTGAAACTCTGTTTTAAAAAAAAAAAAAGTGCTCTTTTCCACTCAGGCCCGTGACGCCGGCAGGATGGGCAAGTGTCGTGGACTTTGTACTGCTAGGAAGCTCCGAAGCCACCGATGAAACCAGAAGTGGCAGGATAAACAGTACAGGAAAGCCCATTTGGGCACAGCCCTGAAGGCCAACCCTTTTGGAGGTGCTTCTCATACAAAAGGAATCATGCTAGAAAAAGTAGGAGTTGAAGCCAAGCAGCCAAATTCTGCCATTAGGAAGTGTGTCAGGGTCCAGCTGATCAAGAATGGCAATAAAATCACAGCCTTTGTACCCAATGATGGTTGCTTGAACTTTATTGAGGAAACGAAGTTCTGGTTGCTGGATTTGGTTGCAAAGGTCATGCTGTTGGTGATATTCCTAGAGTCAAAGTAGCCAGTGTCTCTCTTTTGGCCCTATACAAAAGCAAGGAGGAAAGACCAAGGTCAGACATTTTAATGGTGAAAACACTGTAGTAATAAATTTTCATATGCCAAAAACCAAAAACAAAAATAAGACAAAAAACCCACAGGGTATACTATAGTTTTCTTCTGAAGTAATTTTTCTCTCTCCTGTTCTTTTTACCAAGGATGAATGTTACTAGGACAAATGTACTTATAAAGTAAGTTATTATACGTGGCCTGATTATTTGCATAAAATACAAGAATTGTGATTGGCCATATAGGTTGAATTTTGCATTAGATTTTCAAAAGCCTCTTGAGGCTCAGAAACCAAGCCAAGTATTTTTCTGACTGTGCCTGTCATACCGATACAAATTGGGTGAATTCCTTTCTTCTCAAGGTCACAAAATACCTCGAGGTTTCTGTAATCCCAGCTCTTTGGGAAGCTGAGTGGGAGAATCACTTGATCCTGGCAAGTTGAGTCTCCAGTGAGCTATGATTGCACCACTACACTTTTAGTTTGGGCAACAGAGTGAGACCTTGTCACAATAAAAATAAAATAGTCGACCTCAATTCCCCAAAACACTCTGGAAATATTGGAAAATATGTGATTCTAGTCAAAACCATGGTAAAATAGTTGTATCTAATTGTGTACTGTTACAAAATAAAACAGATTCTTACCCAAATAACTATTTTGCCATAAATTAATAGTACTCATAGTTTCCAAATTTTAGAGAAATGAAGAGAAAGTCATGTTTTTTTCTCTCTTTTTTTGACAGTGTCTTGCTCTGTTCTCCAGGCTGGAGTGACTCACTGCACCATCCAGCTCCCTGGTTCAAGTAATTCTCACGCCTCAGCCTCTGAGTAGCTGGGATTACAGGCATGCATCACCATGCCTGGCTAATTTTGTATTTTTAGTAGAGACAGGTTTTCACCATGTTGGTCAGGCTGGTCTTGAACTCCCAGCCTCAGGTGATCTGTCCACCTTGGCCTCCCAAAGTGCTGGATTACAGGCTTGAGCCACCACGCCTGGACAAAATTTATTTATTTTTTATCACTATTATTTATTGTTTTTGAGAATTTCTCTTACTTTTCTGCCAGCTAAGAAAGATGTTTTAAGAAATACAAAAATTAGCCAGTCGTGGTGGCTGGCACATGTAATCCCAGCTACTTGGGAGGCTGAGGCAGAGAATTTCTTGAACCCAGGAGGCAGTGAGCTGAGATCGTGCCACTGCACTCCAGCCTGGGTGACAGAGCAAGACTCTATCTCAAAAAAAAGAAATATATGCTAGGCCAGGTGTGGTGGCTCATGCCTATAATCCCATCACTTTGGGAGTCCAAGGCAGGCAGATCACTTTGATGTCAGGAGTTTGAGACCAGCCTGGCCAATATGGTAAAACCCCATCTCAGGCAGGGCTCAGTGGCAGAATGCTTGTAATCCCAGCACTTTGGGAGGCTGAGGTGGGTGAATCACCTGAAGTCAGGAGTTTGAGACCAGCCTGACCAACATGCTGAAACCCTGTCTCTACTAAAAATAGAAAAAATTAACTGGGCCTGGTGGCGGGCGCCTGTAATCCGGCTACTTGAGAGGCTGAGGCAGGAGAATCACTTGAATCTGAGAGGTGGAGGTTGCAGTGGGTTGAGATAATGCCACTGCACTCCAGTCTGGGCAACAGAGCAAGACTCTGTCTCAATAAAAAAGAAAAAAACCCAGAATATCAGGAAAAGGAAGACCTGTACTTCTTTTGTGAGAATTTGAGTCTACTGTGTGGTTTGTTGTTGTTGAAAAGATGTCGAAGCTTTTGCTTTGATCTTCCTTCCCAATCCTTTTTTGGGCAAAAATTATTAGACAGCCATGGATGGGTCATGCCTATAATTCTAGAACTTTGGGAGGCCGAGTGGGTGGGGAGGTAGAGGATCACTTGACCCCAGGAGTTCAAGACCAACCTGGGCAACATAGTGGGACCCTGTCTCTTCAAAAATAAAAATATGTGCTGGGCTTGGTGGCACGCGCCTACTCAGGAGGCTGAGGTGGGAGGATTGCTTAAACCGAGGTGGTCAAGGCTGCAGTGAGCTGTGATCATACTACTGCACTCCAGCCTGAGTGACAGAGTAAGCCCCTGTCTCAAAAAAAAAAAAAAAATATATATATATATATATATATATGGCCCGGTACGGTGGTTCACGCCTGTAATCCCAGCACTTTTGGAGGACGAGGCGGGTGGATCATGAGGTTAAAAGATTGAGACCATCCTGGTCAACATGGTGAGACCCCGTCTCTACTAAAAATACAAAAAATTAGCTGGGCATGGTGGCGCGTGCCTGTAATCCCAGCTACTTGGGAGGCTGAGGCAGGAGAATTGCCTGAACCCAGGAGGCAGAGGTTGCAGTGAGCCGAGATTGCGCCATTGCACTGTAGCCTGGGTAGCAAGAGTGAAACTCCGTCTCGGGGAAAAAAAAAAAACAAAACTGACTTTTTCCTATTCCCTTCTTGTATTTTTTTTTTTTTGAGACAGAATTTCTCTGTTGTTACCCAGACTGGAGTGCAATGGCACGATCTCGGCTCACCGCAACCTCTGCCTTCTGGGTTCGAGCAATTCCCCAACCTCAGCCTCCCGGATAGCTGGGACTACAGGCGCGAACCACCATGCCCAGCTAATTTTTTTGTATTTTTAGTAGAGACGGGGTTTCACCTTGTTGATCAGATGGTCTCGATCTCTTGACCTCGTGATCCACCCGCCTAGGCCTCCCAAAGTGCTGGGATTATAGGCGTGAGCCACCGCGCCCGGCCTCCTATTCCCTTCTTGTAATGACTTCTGGTTGGAAAGATTACTCTGGTCCCTGACATTTGCTGTTCAGTCAGTGTTCGTTGTTACTATCTCTTTCCATTGTTTAAGGGATAGCTGAGAAGACAGGGAGAGCCTGAGCTGGTTTTCTCCTAAACAAAGGAGCTGGGAGTGGGGATGAATGTGTGAAGGGAAGGAGGGCCCATGCAAGGTAAAAGAGGGTGTTGGGGAAGGGGCTTCATGCTAGAATTTGGCTGCTAATCCAGCGGGCACTCATGAGGCTGTGATTTGCAAAGTCCACTGTAAAAAGAAAACAAAACTTCACTACACTAAGTTTATGCCAAGGGGGAAGTTAAACCTTGGAGACTGAGTCATGTAGCATGTTTGCAATTCTGCTTCTTACAACTCTCTTCCTCATTGCTCTTGTTCTGTAATGAGACCTCCTTTCCAATCACTGATCTTTGTTGTAGATAACTGCCTCTGTTATTGTCCTGCACTTGACTCAACATATGGTACCCAAGACCCATGACTATTGCATCATTAGTATGGAATGTGAAAAATATCTTTCCCCAAGGAAAAAAAGAACACACATTGACTAATCAGATCATTGTAACTGTGCAATAAGCCTTACTATAGAACGATGTTGAAACTCTGCTAAGCTTCCGTGAACTTTATGTCTATATAAATGATCCCAAACTTCTACACTTTGGAACACAGACTTCTATTCTTTGGAATCTGTGCCTCTAGGTGGACCACTTCCTCAACATTTGCACTTGGATAAACTTCTTAAACTAGATCCTAAGCCTGGCACAGTGGTATATGCCTGCAGTCCCTGCTACTCTAGGAGGCTGAGGCAGGAGGATCCCTTGAGCCTAGGAGTCTGAATCTAACCTGGGCAACATAGAAATACTCCATCTCTAAAACAAAGATAACAACACTAGATTCTGGCCCTTTTTTTTCCCCTTTGAGATGGAGTCTTACTCTGTCACCCAGGCTGGAGCACAGTGGTGTGATCTTGCCTCACTGCAACCTCAGCCTCCCAAGTTGAAGCAATTCTCCTGCCTCAGTCTCTTGAGTTGCTGAGGCTACATGTGTGGGCCACCACATGCAGCTAATTTTTTTATTTTTAGTAGAGACAGGGTTTCACCATTTGACCAGGCTGGTCTTGAACTCCTGAGCTCAGGTGATCCACTTGCTTTGGCTTCCCAACGTGCTGTGATTACAGGCATGAGCCACCTCGTCCAGTCTAGATTCTGATCTTTTTAATTATTATATTTTAGATTGACACCACTTGCCCTGATTTGTTATTTTATTTTTTTTTTGAGGCAGAATCTCACTTTGTTGCCCAGGCTGGAGTGTATTGGCGTGATCTCGGCTCACTGAAACCTCTGCCTCCCAGATTCAAGCGGTTCTCCTACTTCAGCCTCTCAAGTAGCTGGGATTACAACCACCTGCCAACAGTCTCGGCTAAATTTTTGTATTTTTAGTAAAGACAGTGTCTCACCATGTTGGCCAGGCTGGTCTCAAACTCCTGACCTCAAGTGATCTGCCCACTTCAGCCTCCCAAAGTGGTAGGATTATAGGTGTGAGCCTCCACACCCAGGCAACTTGACCCAATTTTTAAACAACTAATTATTTTTAAAAAATACTTTCAGGCTGGGTGCGGTGGCTCACACCTGTAATCCCAGCACTTAGGCTGAGGTGGGTGGATCACGAGGTCTAGAGATGGAGACTATCCTGGCCAACATGGTGAAACCCATGTCTACTAGAAATACAAAAATTAACTGGGTGTGCTGGTGCGTGCCTGTAGTCCTAGCTACTCAGGAGGCTGAGGCAGGAGAATCATGTGAAACTGGGAGGCAGAGGTTGCAGTGAGGTGAGATCATGCCACTGCACTCCAGCCTGGGTGACACAGCAAGATTCCATCTCAAAAAAAGAAAAAGAAAAAGAAAAAAAATTTCCTCACAGAGTAGGGCTAACGCATAGGCAGCATGCCCAGAGTCAGCCCACTTTGTCCCATTGGTACAAACAAGCTGTTTCCTTTTTCAGTCTCCTGCCACTTCTCTCAATCTCTGTGTATTTAAAGAAAAAAAAAAAGCTGGGGAAAAAAGGTTCTTCAACTCATTCTGCAATCTTGATGTACATATCATTCATTTTAGCTGGACACTAGCACTGGTTTAAAAGTTCTGACTTTGGGATGCCGAGGCGGGTAGATCACGAGATCAAGAGATCGAGACCATCCTAGTTAACAGGAGCGAAACTCTGTATCAAAAAAAAAAAAAGTTCTGACCCTGCTTTTCAAACTTGAACGTATTACAAATCACCTGGAAGGCATGTTAAGGTCTGGTGGCCGCAGCCCCAGAGCTTCTGATCCCATGGGTCTATGAAGAGTGAAAGAGGGAAAGGTTAAGATTTTTTTTTGAAGGTTTTTTGTTTTGGTTTTGTTTTTTTTTTGAGATGGAGTTTCGCTGTTGTTACCCAGGCTGGAGTGCAATGGCACGATCTCGGCTCACCGCAACCTCCGCCTCCTGGGTTCAAGCAATTCTCCTGCCTCAGCCTCCCAAGTAGCTGGGATTACAGGCGCGCACCACCATGCCCAGCTAATTTTTGTATTTTTAGCAGAGACGGGGTTTCACCTTGTTGACCAGGATGGTCTCGATCTCTTGACCTCGTGATCCACCCGCCTCGGCCTCCCAAAGTGCTGGAATTATAGGCATGAGCCACGGCGCCTGGGCTTGGTTTTGTTTTTTGGAGATGATGTCTCTGTCACTTAGGTTGGCGTGCAGTGGTACAATCATAGCTCACCACTGCTTCGAACTCCTAGGCTCAAAGTAATCAAACCATTATCCCACGTAGCTAGGACTATAGGTGTGCATTACCATGCCTGGCTAATTTTTTTTTTCCCATGCCTGCCCACCTGGCCAATTTTTAAATTTTCTTTTTGAGACGGAGTCTCACTCTCACCCAGGCTGGAGTGCAGTGGTGTGATCTCGGCTCACTGCAACCTCCGCTTCCTGGGTTCAAGTGAGTCTCCTGCCTCAGCCTCCCAAGTACCTGGGACTACAGGAGCGTGCCACCACACCCAGCTAATTTTGTGTATTTTTAGTAGAGATGGGGTTTCACCATGTTAGCCAGGATGGTCTCAATCTCCTGACCTCATGATCTGCCCGCCTCGGCCTCCCAAAGTGCTGGGATTACAGGTGTGAGCCACCATGTCCAGCCTAATTTTAAAATTTTAAAATTTAAAATTTTTAAATTTTTTAGACAAGGGGTCTCGCTATGTTGCCCAGGCTGCCCTTGAATTTGATCATCCTGCCTCTGTCTCCCGAAGTGCTAGGATTACAGATCTGAACCATCACACCTCACCAGGAAGGTGGTGTCTCTCTCTCAAGCCTCCTGCTACTTCTATTTCTACCAGGCAGTGGTTCTGAGATGGGAGACCCCCTTGCGTCCTTCAATTTCACCTCCTCCCTCTCCTTCCCCCTTCCAGATGGGAAGGAGGGTGAAGAAGAAAAAAAAATGAAAGAGAATACTGAAGAGCTGGGAAAATGATTCCCTTTTTGGTTCCCAGTGTCTCTGCTCTCAGTTAACCTTGAAAGAGCTGCAAATCAATGTTATCCCTGCCAGCTGGAGCCCGGCACTGGTTCACACCCCCATGTCTCCATGGACCAGGCTCCCTCCTGGAAACACCTCTGCCAACAGACAGCTTGTTGCTTTTGTCTTGTCTCTGTAAGCCCCCTCCCCTGACAGTCCCCACTCAAGCTGCATATGAATTAGCAAATCAATGAAGCCAAGAGATTGTAAGGTTGGACATGCAGCAAATGGACAGACATAGTTTTGCCTCAGTTTGCCCTTTAGCATTGTAAGCCTATAAAAGGGGAGAGAAGCGGCTGCTTGGGGAGCTCAGTGAATAAGGCTGTAGTCCCCGCAGCTCCTGGCTGAAGAAAAATCCACTTCCTTCCTCAGTTTGGTGTTCGAGAAGTTTGTTCCCTGATGCTCCTGCTTCAGGTCATGGATCAGACATTCAGAGTGTCATTTCCTCTCTGTATTCCACTATTTCTGGTAAATAAAATTGTCAGCAAAACTTTGTAAGATGTGCAGTGTTCATTTATTTAGAGACAAGAGTCTCACTCTGTTACCCAGGCTTATGCATCGATCATTGCTTATGCAGCCTCTAACTCCTGGGCTCAAGTGGTCCTCCTGTCTCAGCTTCCTGAGTAGTGTGGACTACAGGCATACACCACCATGCTCAGTTAGTTTTATTTTTTTATGGAGATGGCGTCTCACTATGTTGCCCAGGCTGATCTCAAACTCCTGGCCTCAAGTGATCCTCCCGCCTCAGTCTCCCAAAATACTGAGATTATAGACATGAGCCACTGAACCCGGTGACAGTTTTTAGTGGTATTAGACATGCAGCTGACATCCTAATTGCTGCAGATGCTGTATTCTCTTCTTCCTTGCTTCACCTCTGTTTACTGCTCTGCATTAGAAAGGCCAACCCCACAACCACAGTACCTATATTGCTCTACCCCTGCTTCCCACAGGCCCTCTGTATGTGTGTCCCATGAAGAAACTATGTGGTTTCCAAGGGAAAGTATTATATCAGTTTACTCTCAAAACTGCTAATTAAAGGGGAAAACTAAGCATTTATCCTGCCTTTCCCATATAAATCACGTTTTGGGGTAATCAGGGTAACCAAATAGCCTTGATGAATTTTATTTTATTTTTGAGATAGAGTCTTGCTCTGTCACCCAGGCTGGAGTGCAGTGGTGTGATCTCAGCTCCCTGCAACCTCTGCCTCCCTGGCTCTAGTGATTCTTGTGCCTCAGCCTCCTGAGTAGCTGGGGCTACAGGCATGTACCACCATGCTCAGCTAACTTTTGTATTTTTTTTTTTTTTGAGATGGAGTCTTGCTCTGTCACCCAGGTTGGAGTGCAATGGGGCCATCTTGGCTCACTGCAACCTTCCGCCTCCTGGGTTCAAGTGATTATCCTGCCTCAGCCTCCTGAGTAGCTAGGATTACAGGTGTCCACCACCATGCCTGGCTAATTTTTTGTATTTTTAGTAGAGACAAGGTTTCAGCATGTTGGCCAGCCTGGTGTTGAACTCCTGAGCTCAGGTGATCCACACACCTCAGGCTCCCAAAGTGCTGGGATTATAGGCATAAGCCACTGTGCCTGACCTAATTTTTGTATTTTTTAGTAGCTATGAGGTTTTGCCATATTAGCCAGGCTGGTCTCAGACTCCTTAGCTCAGATGATCTGCCATCTAGGCCTCCCAAAGTGCTAGGATTACAGTCATGAGCCACCGCACCCAGCTGATGAGCTTTTTACTGAGGAATTCCAACTAATAAATGAAGAAATAACAGAATTTCAAAATCACCTTTTTGCAACCCCTCATGAAATAACTGAATCAGACAAAACTCATCTGTGTATCAAACTGTCAGTTGAAAGGTTGATGTGCAGGTGTGGTGGCTCACGCCTGTAATCCCAGCACTTTGGGAGGCTGAGGCAAGTGGATCATCTGAGGTCAGGAGTTCAAGACCAGCCTGGCCAACATGGTGAAACCCCATCTCTACTAAAAATACAAAAATTAGCCAGGCATGGTGCTGTGTGCCTGTAATCCCAGCTACTCAGGAGGCTGAGGCAGGAGAATCACTTGAACCTGGGAGGCGGAGGTTGCAGTGAGCTGAGATCGCACCACTGCACTAGAGCCTAAGTGACAGAGCGAGACTCCAATCTCAAAAAAAAGGAAGGTTGATGGGGAAACTCCCGAGAGAGGAAATTTCCAGGAGAGTCAGGCTATGAACCCACTTCTCAATCACAGCTTAACTCAGAGGGACAAGCAGTGCAGGTACAATAGGAAGCACTTAGGAAGGACTCTTGCTCCTCCAAAATGGAATCTGAATCCAATCAAATCTTCAGAGGTTTAATAACTGAAAATACAAGGGATGAAGGAAGAAATTAAATGACACTGACAAAGCAAACTGACAAATCGGGAGAGTGGGACGTTCTACAGGACAAATAACCCTGTTTCTGGACTACTGTAGATAAGTGATTTAAGAGACATCAAAGTGCAATGTGAGCCAAGTGTGGTGGTACATGCCCAGGAGTTAGAGACCAGCCTGGACAACAGTGAGACCCTGTCTCTACAACAAGAAAAATAAAAGCCAATGTATAGATTCTCTTTGGATCCTGATTCAAACAAATCAGCTATAAATATTTTTGAGACATTTGATGTAATTTGGATAATGACAGTATTATAAGATGACACAGAGGTATTGTTAATTTTTTGGGGTCTGCATTGGCATTATGGTTATATAACCAAAAGTTCATTTTGTTGTTATTATTTTTGTGAGTCAGAATCTCCCTCTGTTGCCCAGGCTGGAGTACAATGGCGCTATCTTGGCTTACTGCAACCTCCACCTCCTGGGTTCAAGTGATTCTCCTGCCTCAGCCTCCCAAGTAGCTGGGATTACGTATGCACACCACTACTCCTAATTTTTGTATTTTTAGTAGAGACAGGGTTTCACCATGTTTGTCAGGCTGGTCTCAAACTCCTGATCTTGTGATCCGTCCACCTCGGCCTCCCAGAGTGCTGGGATTACTGGTGTAAGCCACTGTGCCTGGCCTCATTTTACTATTTTACTTTATTTTGAGATGGAGTCTCACTCTGTGTCCAGGCTGGAGTACAGTGGCACCATCTTGGCTCACTGCAGCCTCTGCCTTCTGGGTTCATGCGATTCTCCTGTCTCATCCTCCTGAGTTGCTGGGATTACAGGTGCCCGCCACCATGCCCTGCTATTTTTTGGTAGAGATGGAGTTTTGCCATGTTGGCCAGGCTGGTCTCAAACTCCTCACCTCAGGTGATCCACCTGCCTCAGCCTCCCAAAGTGCTGGGATTATAGGCATGAGCCGCTGCACCCGGCCAAAAGTTCATTTTAAAGAATGAGATGCATACTTAATAATGTAGGGGAAAATGTCATGAGGTCTGGGATTTTCTTTTTTTTTCTGAGACAGAGTCTGGCTCTGTGCCAGGCTGGAGTGCAGTAGTACGATCTCAGCTCACTGCAACCTCCGTCTCCCAGGTTCAAGTGATTCCCTGCCTCAGCCTCCTGAATAGCTAGGACTATAGGCGCACCACCATACCCGACTATTTTTGTTTGTTTGTTTGTTTTTTTTGTATTTTAGTAGAGATGGGATCTCACCATGACCAGGATGGTCTTGATCTCCTGACCTTGCACTTCGCCCACCTTGGCCTCCCAAAGTGCTGGGATTACAGGTGTGAGCCACTATGCCCCGCCCTGGAATTTGCTTTAAAATACTTCAGCAAAAGAAAGGAAAAGAAAAAAGGAACAGAAGCAAATGTGCCAACACCTTGATAACTGCTGGAACTGGACGTTGGGTACATGGGGTTCACTAAACTATTTTCTCTACTTTTGTGTGGTTTTACAAATGTCTCTAAATAAAAAAAATTACATATTACATTACTGATCACAAATTCTGGATAAAATATCACAAAATTTATGCCATGCCTTGACATATTCTACTACTTGCATCAGATAGAATAAATTACCAAAACATTCTTAGAGAAGCAATTGAAAGTAAAACAAATCTCTAACTGCAAATGAATGTGGCCCTCAGCCCACAGTCTTTAACAGGCTGGAGTGCAGTGGTGCGATCTCAGCTCATTACAACCTCTGCCTCCCGGTTTCAAGCAATTCTCCTGCCTCAGCCTCCCAAATAAATGGGATTACAGGCACCTGCCACCACGCCTGGCTAATTTTTATATTTTTAGTAGAGATGGGGTTTCATTATGTTGGCCAGGCTGGTCTGGAACTCCTGACCTCGTGATCCACCTGCCTTGGCCTCTCAAAGTGCTGGGATTACAGGTATGAGCCAGCATGCCCAGCCCCTTTTAAATTTCTTAACATCTCATCTAGGCACTGGATTTTCCTAACACGTGGAGGAAAGCAAGGGCTCTCTCACTCACCTAAGGCTGCCCAGAGTCTTTTCATAAGCATCTGCCTGAGGAGTATTTTCTTATATAATCTGCCATAGGAAGTGTTCACTTCCCTGTCAGGCCAGCTGGGACAGGATTCTTATCTGCATTTCACACACTTGTACCCTATTTCATGGAGAATAGTATCCTAACCTATGTTAGAAATATAAAAGAGTGGCTGGGTGCGGTGGCTCACGCCTGTAATCCTAGCACTTTGGGAGGCCGAGGTGGGTGGATCACCTGAGGTCAGGAGTTCAAGACCAACCTGGCCATCATGGTGAAACCCCATCTTAAAAAGAAAAAAAAAAATTAAGAAAAAAAAAGGAAAAAAAAAATATATAAAACAGTGTGGGTTTTAAAATACCTTACAGGCTGGGTGTGGTGGCTCAAGCCTATAATTCCAGCACTTGGAGAGAACAAGGCAGGCAGATTGCTTGAGCTCAGGACTCTGAGAACAGCCTATGCAATATAGTGAAACTTTGTACTAAAAATTTAAAAAATCAGCTGGGCATGGTGGCACACCCTACGTGGTAGGCTGAGGTGGGAGGATCACCAGGAGATTGAAGCTACAGTGAGCTGTGATAGCACCACTGCACTCCAGCCAGGGTGACAGCGTGAGACCTTATCTCAAAAACAAAAACAATCTTATGGCGCTCCCTTCAAACTCATTACACCTAGGAAGATCAGCCTGTTTCTCTGTGATAAGAAGGACTGTGGCCAGGCATGGCAGCTCATAGCTGTAACCTCAGCACTTTGGGAAGCTGAAGCAAGAGGACTGCTTAAGTGCAGGAGTTCCATTCTAGCCTGGCAACATAGCACAACCTTGCCTCTATTAAAAATAAAATTAAAAAAAATTAACCAGGCATTGTGTCATGAACCTGTAGTCCCAGATACTATGGAGGCTGATATCCGAGGATCACTTGAGCCCAGGAGGTTGAGGCTTCAGTGAGCTGTGATGTGCAACTGCACTCCAGCCTGGGTGACAGAGTGAGCTAGAATTCATTCCCAGCCCCACAAGTATACACGAGGAAAACAGACATGAAGATATGCATTGACAGAACCATAAAGACTACAAATATTCCTTCTCCTTCATTCAAAATTTTAAGTTACAAACATTTTCACTGGTAAATAGTCAATGGGGGTGGTACATCTAGTCCATACCCTGAAACCAAACATCCTGCCACTCGGGGACTTTCACTAGCCCTCTTGAAAGCGGGTATCTTACCCCAACACCAAAGAGGAAGCTTGGCCTTCCCCAGTTCCCTGAGTTCACATTGATTCAGTTCTACGGCTCACCAGCCCTGCCCCAGACAGGACCAATCCGTGTCCTGGGAGAGCAGAGAGGGTGGTGGGGCCACATTTGGCCACATGGGAAGGAAGTATTTTCAGGTGAGGTCAGGACTTCTTTTGTGGGAGCGGAAGCTTGGCTTTCAGTCCTAACAGAAGTGATTTCCCTGGTAAAGGGAAAGTGATTTTGCTGAGGCTGAAGTCTAAAGGAAGATGGAACTGTCTTTTAGGCATCTCCAGCAGACCCTCTACAGACCTGTGGTCCTGAAGGCAGAGTCCTGGGCCTAATACCCGTGTGGCAGCGGCACAGCTCAGAGCGTCCCGTAGACACTGATTTTGGCCAAAGAGATGCTCTCTGTGTAGTGGCTCCGGCCTTTCTCATACAGGACGTAGAGCTGGGGGGCCTGCTCCTCTCCATCCATGCTGCCCTCCAGGGTTGCCAGGGATGAGTAGCCGCTGGGCCCTGGCCACAGCTGAACTGTCTCTTTCCGCCATGAGGTACCATTGCTGAAGCTCCAGCGCAGGGTCAGGTTCACTCCTGGGGAGAGCAGGAGAGTCAGGGAGGGAGGGTGTCTGCCCAGGCCTTGTCTAGACCTAGGGCTCTCCCGGCTGACCCCACCCATTAGGCACTCACGGAACTCTGGATGTGCTGGATTGGAGAAGAAGACAATGCCGGAGCTGGTGACTACAGCTCCTGCAGCTACCACAGGGTCCACGAGCTCAGGGTCAAAGGTCACATCACGGAGCCTCAGTGTATCACAGGCATCATAGCTGCGGAGGACGACCCGGCAGTGGCAGTGGTAGTTGTTCTGATTTCGGGCATTGATGACGACTGAGCCATCTGGGAGCTCATAGGGCTGAGGGGAGAGGACAGGACCTCAGGAGGGAACAGGGCCAATGCCCCTGTCCCTGAGGGGAGCAAGGGTGTGTGGCACTGAGCTAAGCAGTCAGACCCTGAGTCTGTGTGAAATGATGTTCTGGAGGGCAGGGGTTGGTCAAATGGGTAGGGAACATCTCACGGACTCCTGACCTGGCATTCATCAGGATTGAAATCATTTTCCCGCTTGGGCTGGCCATAGGGGATGCCGCTGACTCCACTCCCGTAGTGCCAGGAGGCACCATGATCATCACTGAGGAGACAGAAGACTCCATCCCGCTCCAGCGTCCCATGGCCACACACGATGAGGCGGCCCTTCCGTGGCTCCCGCTGTTTCTGTGGGAAGGAGAACTGGGTGTTACAGAAGGAGAGTCTAAGGGCTCAGGGGCAGGGACAGGGAACCCACCACTTCCCAAGTGCAATCACATGTATGCTCCTCTTCAGTTCGGCCCTTGCCCATTGAGGGTTCCAGCTGGATCCCACAAACACACACAGTTTGAATTAAGAAGCTCTCCGAGAGTATACAGCTAGACATGCGGGGGCCCAGCCACAGGGTATATGAAAGCTTAAACTCAACCTGTGCTCACTTGCCAAGCTGTGCACCCTGGCGCAGGCTTGTTTGTCCAAAGTGGGAGTGCCTTTTTCTACTTTGCATGAGGGTATTGCATGGACTAGCACAGTCCTTTTGACAACGCCAAATGGGAAGCCAATGGCAAAGTTCCCTCCTCCCCTGATAGCATGTTCCTCCCAGGATGCTCTTTCAAGGAATCCCACCCAAGCCAGAAAATATGACTTCAGAGGATCTTCCCCTTGGAAAGGAGTTCAGCCCTCTCCACCTATCTCCTAGGACAGAGACCTGAATACCAGAGCCGGGTCCAGGGGCAAACACTTCAGTGCCGATATCCAGGGAGAGATTCCGGGGTGTGCTCCAGGAAACACCATCATCCTTGCTCCATACCAACATGGTAGAGGCCACCTGGCAGCCAGCCTTGTGGGCACAAAGGGTGTAGAAAAGAAATACCACTCCGGTCTCAACATCGCTCACCACCGACCCAAGGTTCAGCCCATCGGGGACATCCCCATCATTGACAATGAACGCTGTAGGAGACCATGTGCTGCCTGAAAAAAATCGGAGGAAGAAACTCAGAGTGAGCACTCCGCAGGTACCCTCTCTACCACTTCCCATTAATTTCCCACCTCCTGCTAGGGACCCCAGGCCTTCCACTGGCGGCAGGGTGCAATCTAACAATCTAACACTTGTACTACCTTGTCCTGTTTTATTTTTCTCCATTGCATTTATCACTTTCCAACACACAAAAATGTTTGTTTTTATACTTGTCTGTCTCCTTACAATAGAACTTAAGTCCTATGAGGACAGAGATTTTTGTTTTGTTTTGTTCATGGCTATATTCATAAAACCTAAAATAGGCTGTTCGCGGTGGCTCACACCTGTAATCCTAGCACTTTGGGAGGCCGAGGTGGGTGAATCACGAGGTCAAGAGATGGAGACCATCCTGGCCAACATGGTGAAACCTTGTCTCTACTAAAAATACAAAAATTAGCCAGGCGCAGTGGCATGCGCCTGTGGTCCCAGCTACTCGGGAGGCTGAGGTGGAAGAATTGCCTGAACCCAGGAGGCGGAGGTTGTGGTGAGCCGAGATTGTGCCACTGCCTCCAGCCTGGCGACAGAGCAAGACTCCGTCTCAAAAAAAAAAAAAAAAAAAAAAAAAACCACCTAAAATAGTGCCTGGTATAGGTACATAGTAGGTACTCAATAAATGTTTGCTGAGTGAATGTCCAAATCCTTGGTGATCTCAATTTCCAGAGCAGAGCACTGTCCTAGACACTTTCCCTTCTCAGGTTCCACCTACCCTTCAGGGACCCAGGCATCCAGCCCCCTAAGTTCCCCTATCCTCAAGGTCCTTAGGCCCATTGGGCTGTCCACCCATCCAACCTAGTACCAGCTGTTTCACCCAGGCAACTTTATACCCTGGTCCATGGACCTCCGCAGGGCGATGAACTTGGCCCCCTCATCGGACGAGGACATTTTCCTCGCCTCAGCAAAGGCGAGGAGCGTGCCCCGAGGAGTGGCTGTGATGAGTGGGATGCGGAAGGTGTCCACTGAGCCAATCTGTCTCCCGCTCACCCACAGCAGTTGCTCCATGGTCACCAGCGGCTGTACCTGTCACGGATGAGGAAGGGTCAACAAAGACAAACTCAGGTCCTGATGGAAGAGGGAGGATCTAATAGGGTCTGGGATCCCAGAACAAGAAAGAGGAACTCAAAAGAGAGTTTTGAGCAAAGCTGGCGACTCAGAGCAGGGAACGGACTACGAGAGGAGAAGGAGCCTTCAGGGAGGGAAGGGGACCCCAAAAGAGGAAGGGGCTCGAATGAGGAGGAAGACTGGGACCCGGAGAGGGAGAGGGGTTGGGAGCAGTCGGAGGAAACCAGGTCTGGGAGAAGGAAAAGCGTCCCGTTGCGGAAAGGCGGCTTAGCACTAGGTGTCGACCACCTGCGCGAGTCCGGGATGGGGCTATGCGAGAGGTGACTCACCAGACCGAAGTCGTTCTCAGTCCTGGACCGGGAGTCTGCCAGAGACAACAGCAGCAGGAAGATCGCAGCAAACACCCGAACCCTGCAGCCTCCCCAGAAGCCCGGCCTCCAGGGTCTGCCCGGCAGCTCCGTGCTAAATCGTTCGCCGGTCATCTCTCCCCACAGCGGCTGAGAGCCCTGCAGCTAGACTCCACAGGGTCGGGCGTCAGCTGACCCGGACCCTTTAAAACGCAGATGTCACCCTTTAGCCCGCCCCTGTCTGGCGGGCCCGCCGCGCTTCCGGGGCTCTAATTGGTCTTCAAGCAGTTCATCTCCTCCCACGTGATCACGGAGCGTCTCAAAACTTGCCTTTCCGATTGGCCCTCTTGGAGGCCCCCGGAGCGCGTGACCCGAACGGGAAGTGGACTGGCTGGGGTGAAGAAGGGCCCTGCACCATCCATATTAGCATTTTTGATTGGCCGTGGCACCAGGGCGTCACAGGGGCGGACCTATTTTAAAGAGACCGGCGGGAAAAGAAAAGACCGCGCGTAGTCGTGGAGAGAACGATTCACAGACTTACTGAGAAAACAAAATATCTTTAATAAAATCTTTTTTTGTTTGTTTTGTTTTGAAGACGGACTCTTTCTCTGTTACCCAGGTTGGCGTGCAGTGGCGCGCTCTCGGCCACTGCAATATCCGCCTCCCGGGTTCAAGTGATTCTCCCGCCTCGGCCTCCCGTGTAGCTGGGATTATAGGCGCCCGCCACCTCACCCGGCTAATTTTTGTATTTTTAGTAGGGACAGGGTTTCACCATGTTGGCCAGGCTGGTCTCGAACTCGTTACTCAGGTAATCCCCCCGCCTCGGTCTCCCAAAGTGTTGGGATTACAGGCGTGAGCCACCGCACCTGGCCTAAAACCTTTTTTACTACAAAATGGAGACCCCCCCATAAGGCGAAGTGAGGCTGGACGCTGGACGGTGGGGGTGGGGTGCAGTCCTGGATCAGGGCCGGAGCTCTCACTTCTTCCTCTTCTTGTTGCCCGGGGGCACCTCGTTCTTCTTGCCTAGAATCTTTAGAAGGCTCTTGGACATGTAGTAGGGCCGGTCCAGGGAGCCGTCGTTCCGCTCCAGGTCTTCCACTGAGATGCAACAGAGACCGGTTAGAGCGGACCCTGGGCCCGGGAAATCGGGACTGGGAAGCAAGCTGCCTGCCGGGTTTGGAATCCAGG